GCTCACAGACACACCCCCAATGAAAGAATAGACCATTCCAAACTTTTACTTGTTGTTAAACAAATGTTTAAACAACTCTATTCAAAGTGCTATTAATTTTATTGTTGGGTATTTTAATATTTTCTTTTTCGATTATGTAATATATAATATTGTGACAGAAAAGAAGTTTTTGGCTTGGGAGACAAAAAACAAAACATTGTCTGAAACCCACTAAAATGCAAGTATTAGATGAAATGGCTTTTTAAAATCAGAAGAATTAAATGTCTTATCTTGTGTTTGATGATATTGAATATAGTTAAAAAGTTACGTAAAAATCAGGAAGTCTGAATGTTTTTTAATCCAACTAACTTCAAACATTTTCATTCATAGCACTAGAAGAAGTTCAATTACTGTGTTATATAACAAACCAAAAGTATAAATTGGTCACTTGTTAAGAAATAATAAATCAATACAAAAATCATCAATACTTAGCATTTCAATAAATTACAGTTATATACTTAGTTAATCATGCTTTTCCAATTTTCAAATGTGTTTTTTATATAAATTTGGTATTGTTAAGAGAAATTCAAATGTGTGGCTTCTTAAGTTCCACAACTTTGTAAATGACAACTAAAACCTCAAGAGTATGTTTTTGAAGATTAAAAAATTATACTTTTTTACACACGTTAAAAGATATATGTTACCCATCTTCTTCAGAGTTCCCAACTTTTTGTTTTTGTTACTGTAGAGGATCACTGGTCTAATCTCCCATATCTTGGATAAAATAAATCCAAATACTGCTAATCATATTCAAAACCAAAAGAGAATGTTTTTGAAGATTAAAAAATTTTACTTTTTTACACACGTTAAAAGATATATGTTACCCATGTTCTTCAGAGTTCCCAACTTTTTGTTTTTGTTACTGTAGAGGATCACTGGTCTAATCTCCCATATCTTGGATAAAATAAATCCAAATACTGCTGATCATATTCAAAACCAAAAGAGTATGTTTTTGAAGATTAAAAATATTATTTAATAATTATACTTTTCTACATAAGCTAAAAGATACATGTTACCAATCTGCTTCAGAGTTCCCACCTTTTTTTTTGTTACTGTAAAGGATCACAGGGTCAATCCCCCATACCTTGGATAAAATAAATCCAAATACTTCTAATCTTAGAGTTGGTAGACTATACATCAGTAGGCATAATACAAATGAGATAAATAAAAAAAATTGGGAATGTAAAAACCTGCAAATAGGGATTGTAAAAAAGTAAGCAAACAAGGCTGGAGATACTGTAGATATTATTTACTCAAACTGAAAAACCATGTTTTGGCTCCCTGCTGTTATCTAGAATTACAATTTAAATACACCTTCGTGTCTTTTAAACTAATTATTCTGTGAATGTGTATAATAAAACTTAATATTATGTGTAATAATTTTTTTTACTCCTTCACTTTATTCATAATATGGGGGTTGCTCCCTAAAGACATCAATTGTATAGTGTACAAAGCATTGAGTATCTACATGTTACAGTCATTTAATGTTCTTCTATTATTGGCTGGTAATTCCTGTTTCACCCTCTAGTTAAACTTCTTAAAGGAACACCAGACATTTGTAAGAAAACTAATTTTAAGTAATAACACAAGTAATAATGATCATTGTGTAAATTTAAAATGATGTAGGGATGGCAGTGCCAAAAAAAATGCAAATAAGAATATAGGGATGATACAGGTATACATAGATCATCCCTACATGACTTTCACCCAATCTCATAGCAATATACTGTAATAATCAAGACATGTTTTGACTCAACTTGGTTTTTTTTGTACGTAAGTCCAAGACTCTTAATTACACTACATTGATGCCTACCCTGACATGACCATGGTATTATGATAAACAAACTGCATAACAACACCCAGGAATA